GAGAGAGAGAGAGAGAGAGAGAGAGAGAGAGAGAGAGAGAGAGAGAGAGAGAGAGAGAGAGAGAGAGAGACGTGGGTTGTTCTTGGTTTGTTACCTGGCTGTTCTTTTGCAAGTGCAATAAATAATTGTGTAACATTTCTTCTCTTTATTCCTTTTTTTTTAATTCCTTCGTCAAAAGTCTTTATTCGATTGTTAAATTCAAATTCTGACTATTTTGTTCTCTCTGTTCATTTTGGCATACACATTTCCCATTGCTAATCGCCCTTGTTGCTGTCTCTCCAGGGAATCCAATCTAATCTTATCCAATGAAATCTTTTGTAGTCCAATTTGGATATCCAATCCAATCATTATCCAATGAGATCAGGTCATGCATGACATCGACGGCCTGTAGTCTTCTGCGCTGTTGCTAAGAAGACCCATACACGACAAGTGATAGATCAGATCAGATACTATCCGTTCCGGTCGGACCTTCTTATCAAATCCAGATACCGACGGCGTGTATCATCTCGTCTCGCGCTCAGCCTGTCGTTGTTCCTAGTAATTAACCTCCTCCTCAACACTTCAACCAACGCCTTTAAACCAACCAATCCTCTGATCAAACAACTGTTTTTCGGACTTCGAAAGGATCCCGCCCATCCACCACCCTGTACGCCGTAGGCATGTCCCGCCTTGCGGGGTGTTAATTACCCCCCTTCTCCACACTTCAACTAAGGGGCCCTTCACCAATCTGTCTATCAAGGAAGCAATTTCTGTATTCAGTACAAGGAATTTTCGGACTTCAGCGACCCGTCCCATCCGCCAGCCTGCAGGGCGGCAGGCGACATGTCCAGCCTGGCGGTAATTCCCCCGCCTTGTTGCGGTTGCTGCCTCTGCTTCATCTGTGTGCCGCAGTCCAAGGTGGGCATTTTGGAGCAATGCGGGAAGTTCAGCAGGGTGGTGGGAGCGGGATGTCACTTCATCAACATTTTTTGTTGCGAATGGGTGTCGGGACTGGTCAGTCTTCGCCTGCAACAGCTGGATGTGAAATGCGAGACCAAGACGAAGGACAACGTGTTTGTGAACGTTGTGGTATCTGTGCAGTATCGAGCCGAGGAGGCGCGAGCGAAGGATGCATTCTACAAGCTCACTAACCCGAGGTTACAGATTCAAGCCTACGTGTTTGATGTGGTTCGGGCCTCGGTACCGAAGCTGATTCTCGACGATGTCTTCGGGCAGAAAGACGATATAGCCCACTCCGTCAAGACGGAGCTGGAGAAAGTTATGGGAAGTTTCGGCTACGACATCGAGCAGACGCTGATCACTGACATCGAACCCGATCCCGTCGTCAAACGATCCATGAATGAGATCAACGCCGCCGCGCGAATGCGACTGGCAGCGAACGAGAAGGCGGAGGCGGAGAAGATCCTCCAGGTGAAGCTTGCGGAAGGGGAGGCGGAGGCCAAGTACTTGTCGGGACTAGGCGTCGCGCGGCAGAGACAAGCCATCGTCGACGGGCTGAGAGAGAGTGTCACCTCCTTCTCCCAACAAGTCAAGGGCACTTCTGCAAAAGACATCCTCGATTTGGTGCTGATTACGCAATATTTCGACACCATGAAGGACATCGGATCACACTCAAAGAACACGACCGTGTTCGTTCCGAGCAATCCGAGTGCGGTTGCTGACGTGGCAGCGCAGATACGTGGCGGGTTCTTGCAGGCCCCATCTATGGCGGTGATGGAGGGTCGGGGAAATCGTTGATCACCGTCCTTTTTTTCACACGAACAGACCCCTTCCCTCTCCCCCTCGCCCCTGGTCATCATCGCTGTGTATGTGGTGCAACTACCCCCTTTGTGGATGCACGGTTAATGACCAGGGGGCGTTGTGTTCGAGTGAAGATGCTATTATTGGTAGTGATGGCGGCGACTGGGGACGGAGTGAGTCCTGGTGGCGGTGGCAGCGGCGGCGACCGGTCGATGGCCGAGGAGGAGTCGGTGAGAAACGCGAAGGCGGGGGGGGTAAGGGCAAAACCGACCCGTAAACGTTGGTAGCTGCTGGTTCGCCGCCGGGTTACGACGACCGGTCGCTTGTCGTCGTCGAGTGACAGCGGGTTGTTGAAGAGTTGGGCGGTGGAGTTGACGTGTCGTCGCCTGCGACGATCGCGAGCAGGATGACGACGACGACAATGACAACGGTAATGACCCCTGGGAATGACCGGTCGTCGGTGGGCGGCGGCGGCCACTTGCGGCATCAGGAGGCCTCTTGCGACCAGCAGAGTTAGCAGTGACCGGTCGTCAACGTCTTGGAAATACCATACCATCTTCTCAGCCAAAGGTAACGACTGTCCAGCGGGATGCCGACACCCATCAGGACTCCCGAGGAAGGGGAGGACGAGATCCCGATCCAGCGAAGAAGAAGAAGGGAGATGTAACAAGTTGCTTTTCTTTTGCTTTCTTTTTTTTGTGATTTGGCTTTTCGTCTTAAACATGGTCGTCATCATCATCCGTCATCCCTCTCCACAGGAGAGAAGCGCGCCAAGCTCCCTCTCTGGCCGGAACTTTGCACTTGTTTCATTCTTGGCCTGACCGTCGATCATCACGTAATCTCTACATCTACCAGGCAGGCATCCGGTCGGGGGTACCGTAGGTGGCTCGCGTACCTCTCCCAGTGACACGCTCAGGCTGTACATCCCCCGTTGGACAAAACAGAATGAGTGTCACTGAGGGGTTGGTCGGTCAAAGTCAACGCAATCAATTTATTTATGCACGTATTTAATTATTGATTTACTGGTGAAGAATGTACGGCGGAGATCGAACTCGGTCAAAGTCAACACCGTGTATTTTACTTAGCACTTGATGGTCGAACAACGCTGTCACGTATTGCATCCAGTCAAGGTCAGCGGCATTTATTTATTTATTATTTGGCTAGTGGCATTAATTCATTTATTTATTATTTGGCGAGTTAAATAAAGATATACGACCTCTGTCATATTTAGGCAAAGTCAATGCCATTTACTCGTTACTTGACAGGTCAACGATGTACGGTGGACATCGTATTTAGTCAAAGTCAACAGCCGTTGTTTATGTATTACTGGATGGGTCAACCACGCTCCACGTAGATCACGTGCAGTCAAAGTCAGTGGCATTTATTTATTTATTTATTTTATTATTTTTATTTTTATTTTTTACTCAATTTATTTATTGATTATTTGGTGCGGCATTTGTTTCTTTATTATTAATTATTTGGTGGGTCAATGATATATGATGTTGATCATATTCTGTCAAAATCAGAGCCATGTATTTATTATTACGGCAGGTCAGCAATCCGCTAGGTAGGTAGCATCCAGTCAAAGTCCACGCCATGTATTTCCATTCAGGGATAGACAATCTACAGCCCGGAACATATTCAGTCAAAGTCAACTTCAGTTGAATAACTTGATAGATGGAAGACCGGGTGATCATAGTTGATGGGTTTTCAGTTCTCTATTCCCTTCTTTTTGACGGGTTTCTAGTGTTTTTTTTTTTTTTCTTTTTTTTTTTTTTTTCGGGGGGCGGGGGCGGCTTCTAGCTCGCAGGAACTGTACTTCAAAAGAGGTGGTGGCCCCTGCGCAAGGGTGACACGCATAAATCGAGAAGTGAAAATGGTTACTGTACATTACAGATTTTAGTTTTTTCCTTTTTTTCTTTCTTTTCGACGGGCGTATAGTTTCGGAGAACTATGCTTCGAGTTCTGAAAGAGGGTGGTGAAAAAAAAAGGCTACTGTACATTACGGCTTTTAAGGGGAGGAGGGGGGGGGGTCGCTTCGAAAAACCATTATTAGGGACGGCCTTGGTTCTGACTCCTTCCTGTGTTTTTTTTTTTTTTTTTAAAGCTTCCTGTGGTTTTCAAGTTCTCTTGGTTCGTTTTACCTAAGATCGAAACAAACTGTGTTTATATTGTAAATTATTTACTTCAATGGAGCTCAAGCGCTCAATTTGTTCCCCCGATCAATATTTCCTGGTTTTTTTGTCTTTTTCTCATGGTTGGCAGGCTAGCAGCCGGGCCGCCTGGGTCACGGCCCCTTGTTTGCGCGGCCGGCCCAGCCATGCAAGGACCAAAGGTCCCAGCAAAAAAGAAGGAAATTTTTTTTTTTTAAAATAATGTCATGCAGAAAACTAAACTGAACAACTTTCGCCTCAGGGTCAGATTGAAAATTCCTTACCAAATTCAAAATAAAAATTTAAATAAAAAACATTTCTTTGTTTTTGTTTTTATTTTTTTTTCTTGGCCCGGCCGTGCAGTGGTCCCGGGCCACTCTGGTAGCCTAGGTTAGTTGTATTTTCTTGAGAGCTCCATCTCCAATCTCTTTGTGGGGAGCAACACGTTCTGGGAACCGGGCCCAGCATTCCATGGAAATACAAAACATGTAAAATACGGGGGATGGGGCCATTAGGCGGCTTTGGCTGAGAGTCAATTAGAAACATCGAAGGATAGCTGGCCTACTCAGTCAAAACCTATGTTACCTGATTGGACGTCCCGGACCCCCCTGACTGTCTGGGATGTCCGCCCGGACAACTGGGCCAAACGTCTGACTGGAGCCCTCTGTCTGAATCTACACTAAAATATCTAAATACTTTTACTTTTCAAAAAAAAAAAATCTGTGGATTCTTCTGCAGATAAGGCATATGCCCATAAATTTTTGCGGCATTTTGATAAGCTGGAAAAAACTTGGCTGTTTTTCCGGGTGCCTGGGCACCCAACTTGTGCCCGGGTACCCGCCCGGGTGCCTGGCCGGTCATGAGCCCCCGGGCAGGGTTCTGGGCAGCCCCAGCGCAAAAAAAATGAAAAAATCAAAAAAATCAAAAAATTCTGGGAAAAAAAAATGTGGTGTAGAATTGTAATACAAACGACTTTTGGCTGAGGGTGACATTTGCTCCCAGAAGAAGGCCCGGTTAGGGTACTGGGAATCATGTTGACGGCACTAGGTAAGCTTGCATCGAATGATGAGTGGATACTTGAACCCGCGTTAGAAAAGCTAGCCCACTGGAAGGACCAACACACCTCCCTACTAGGTAGCGCGCTGGTGATTAACAGTGTTGTGCTGGCGGCCCTTTAGTATAAATCCGCAATCTGGGCTCTTAGTAAGGAGGCCATCCGATCACTAAAACGACAGTTAAGAGCCCTGCAGTGGAGAGGCAATGGTGAGCTCTCGAATGTCATCAGCAGGGGAGCTTGGTCATCAGTCGTCCATCCCAAGGACAAAAGGGGGCTGGAGATTCTGGACCCGGATACACAGGTCACAGCATTAATGGTTCAATGGGTCAAGAGACTGCTCTTTACACATCCTCTCCCATGGTATACCATTGCATTGGAACAGATAGCCAGACTCGCTCCACAAGCACCACAGGATGTTAACCCGTTGACCTGGCTAGAAGACTGTTTCTAGACCATGCCACTTAACACTCGAGATAGTCAAGGATCGAACAGAGGAACAATCTGTACGGCCAGGGACGGCTTCTGGGCCAGGGTCTTAAGAGCCTGGTGCCAACTTCCAATTCCTGATACCCCCCCGCCGACGAGGTGGGAGGAAGTGATGCGCGAACCCCTCTTTGGAAATAGGAGGGTTACGGACCAGTGCGGCAGGGTGTATTGCAGCTCAGTCACCCCGTGGTGCAGCTGGGTAAAAAAAGGCGTAATTAGACGAAAGGATATTTGGGACTCACAAAAAGAGGACTGGAAAACGGTGCCGCAACATAAGGTCACATTAAAATATTGGCACAATGTTGAAGAGAACCTCGAACTGCTGATCTTCACTATTCCCCTGGACTGGCTGCCCATCCTTCGCAAAGGGCCACGACTGGTAGAAGGGGACTGGGTAAACGTTATGGGGGACTCAGAAAGTGTAGGAAATATGGTGGACGCACGAGCAAATGAAACACTTATTATTAACCTTTTCCACATAGGCAAAGATAACGTTCTCACTCGGTACACCCCTGAAGTGACGAGATGGGGAAAAAATATGGAACTACACGGGATTCGCATGCTGCGAGACAAGGACGCCTGGATTGCATATCAGCCAAATACCCCATTGGCAGAACTCCCCTTAGATCCAGAGGATTGGCAATGGGCACACCCACGAAAATGCAGATCTCAGGGAAATGCGAAGTTGTACAATCTGACGACGAAGGCAACATACCGACTGCTGCGACCAAAAGTACATTAAAGAAAAGGTGAAGGACCGATGGAGGTCCCAATTAAACGTGGGGATTGAAGCTGTCCTCCCTATTCAATGGTTCACTGCTACCAGGTTTAGGCCAGCAAAGATGGTCTTGCTTCAGTGGCAGATAGAACATCGTAGCCTTCCCACCAACGATTGGTTGATAGGTCAGACCTCTTTAGAGCAGAAGGGGAGGGTGTTACCATGGTGTAAATCGTGCCATACTGTCTTCTCCTCCCGCAAAATCCCAAACCCATAGAGCACATCTTCATGCAGTGTCCGGGGGCAGTTCTTACATGGAGTTGGTGGGATAGGATATGATCCCAGTTGGGCACTGGGTCAAAGTGGCCTTGGGATTGGAAGACCATACTATGCGAGACATGGATCTCCACCACGGATAGCACTTTTGAAAATAACATGCTTAAAATAGGGAGGAGAGCGGTCATATGGACCCTGTGGAGGAAACGTTGTATACATGTTATAGAGGGGGTTTGCATAGCGAAGGGAGAGACGACATATATGATAAAACAATATGTTCAACAAAAACTAACGGTACAGTGACAAAAAGTTAAAAATCAATTGGATTTGTTTCATTCATCCAAAGACATAACACCTGTGTGTTTGAAATTGGATTCAATGTGGGTTTCGTGTTGAATAATTAAACCGTCGTTGAATACCTCGTTTAAACGCTGAAACAACGGGTTTTACCAGCACCCCTGGTGATTTGTTTCGCGGGCTAAAAATTATCGGAAAAAAAAGAAAAATGGGGATTGTATATCTTTCTTAAATCTGCCTCATCTTTTTATTTTTTATTTTTTCACTTTAAAAATATTTAAAAAAAATCAAAAACATCAACATGGTGAAAAAAAAACAAAAACAAAAGATGAAATTAGTGTTTTTTTTTGTCACAGAGGTTTTTCTAGGGCTAAAAAAAAGGTAGAAAAAAATAAAAATAATAGGGTTATAGATATTTCAAAGATGTACAACAGCATTTTTTTTTTTTTTTTAACTTCATGTATTAAAAAAAAAAACCAACAACGTAAAAACAAATTAAACCACCAGTACCTCCGCCATTGTTGGGAAATTACATTGTCCTGGCCAGTACCCGAAGTTTTCGGGGGTCGGACACAGGGTCGGCAATGTCCCAAAAAACGTAGTTTTCTTTTGTCCGTGCACGAAAGAAAAAGGAAAAAAAAAACCCTTTGTACTGCAATGATGTCGGGCAGGGTAGTCTAGGAGGCCGTGCTCACAGTCTTGAATGCATCTTACAACAAAGACGGTCACATTCTGAAACTTATTGTTTTTTTTTTTTTTTTTCTCTTTTGTTTGTTATGTATCCCCTGCCAACGAGGCAGGGTGCAATCCGTGATCTGCTCTAGCTGTGTTTCCTCAGATGATTGTAACCCTGATGTATCCAGCCGTTTTCAAGGCCGAATCCATGTTTTCGTTTTTTTTTTTCTTGTTTTGTTTTTTTGGAATTTGACAATCTGAGTCCGTGCTCTGCTCGAGCTGTGTTCCCTCACAGGATTGTAACCCTGATCACACTGACACTTACGGGAATGTATCTTGCCATTTTCACGACCGAATCCGTGTTCCTGTTTTTTTTTTTTTTTTTGAGTTTCTAGAATCTGACAACCTGGCCACGAGATTGAGATGCCCTCACTGAGGGTACACTCACACTAACACTTCCGAGAATGTATACAGCTGCAATCACGCCCAGACGTTTGTTTCGTTTTCTTGTTTTGTGAGTTTTCACGGCCGCAATTTTTTTTTTTTTTTTTTTTTTTT